GTCTGAATACTTAGGACCATGTGATATTTCAGTTTTTCTTTTTTAATAAATCTGCAAAAATGTCAACGATTCTGTGTTTTTCTGTCAATATGGGGTGCTGTGTGTACATTAATGAGGAAAAAAAACTAACTTAAATGATTTTAGCAAATGGCTGCAATATAACAAAGAGTGAAAAATTTAAGGGGGTCTGAATACTTTCCGTACCCACTGTATGTGGATCAGCAAGGTTGGTGTGGTTGAAGAGACTCTCAAAATAATTTGCCCAACATGCAAGAATCTCATGGCGTTCCTTAAAAAGCGTGGACCCATCAGCTGATCGAACTGGGGCGATCGCCCGTTTCCTGGGGCCATACAGTGCTTTTAAGGCATCGTAAAAGCCTTGAGTGTTATTGCAGTCTGCCAGGTTCTGAATTTCTTGCGACTTTTTCACCCACCAGGTGTTCTCCATAGTCCGGAGGGCTCGCTGGGTTTCTGCTCTTGCAGCAGTGAAGGAGGTTATAAGGGTGGAAGATCCAGGGCAGGACAAGAGAGCTTTGTGGGCTTCATGGTTGGTTTTTAGGAGTGACTGTATCTCGGCTGAATTACAGTCGAACCAGTCCTGGTGATGTTTCCTTAATTGGCCGAGCGCCTCTAAGGCTGCATTATAAATAGCCTGGCGTAAAGCTGGCCAGTCTGCTGATTCTTCTGGGATCTTGCTGAGGTTTTCAGCAAGGAGCCGTCGGAGGTTGTCTTTGGTGGTGTGGTTGTTCAGCGCTGTGCAGTTGAGTTTCTTGTATGAGGCTGTCCTCGGACTACGGGGTTGAATGCTCATGAGTAGATTGGATCTGACCATAAGATGGTCAGTCCAGCATTCAGCTCCTCTCATAACACGGGTGGTGAGGACATCCTGTCTATCCTTTTGACGGACAATAACATGGTCAAGGAGGTGCCAATGTTTTGAGCGTGGGTGCTGCCAGGTGGTTTTAAACCTGTTCTTCATCTGGAAAATGACCAGCTGGTGCTCTGCACAGAGAGAGAGGAGTCTGAGCCCATTATGGTTCATTTTCCCCACACCATGCTGGCCGATGACTTTACTCCATACCAGGTGCTCCGTACCCACTCTAGCATTGAAATCTCCCATGGGCCTGTCCGTAGCCGGGGTTTTCTGTAGGATGGCATCAAGAGCTCTATAGAAATCCTCTTTGATGTTGTGCTCGGCATCAAGAGTTGGAGCATATGCACTGATGAGAGTGGCGAAGCGTTTCT